TATACATTTCAAAAACTATAAAAAAATATACTGTATGTTTAAGTAGAGTTTGGTTCTGAAGAGGTCAGACTTGGATAAGATGAGTGAAGTCACTGCTGTCTCTTTGCAGCTGCTACCCACCCAAAACCCCAGTACCCCATAGAGACTGTGTCTGCCCCCCAGCCACCTAAATTATATAAATCAAAAATCAACTCGAGCAGTTATTCATAAGAACCTAAATAAATTAAGACTACTCCTCTTAAAGAACAAAATAAGATAGCAATCAAATGTGGAGTACCTCAGACCTCTCTCGTCTAAATCTCTGTTAGTGAATGATTTGATAAGTGAACATCACATTGATTTATTGTGTCTTACTGAAACGCGGTTATAGCAGGAAGAACATGTCAGTCTAGATGAATCCACTCCACCTGGTCACAGTAACTGTCACATCCATCGAAACACAGGCCGAGGTGGAGGTGTGGCAGCGATCTTTGACTCAAGCCTATTAATCAACCCTAGACTTAAACATAGTTCTAACTCATTTGAAAGCCTCACTCTGAGTCTCTCACACCCAAACTGGAAAACTCAAAAGCCAGTTCTATTTGTTATTGTTTACCATCCACCTGCTCCTTATTCAGAGTTTTTCAGTGAATTCTCAGACTTTCTGTCTGATTTAATGCTTAGTACAGATAAAATAATCATAGTAGGCGACTTTAATATTCATGTAGATGCTGACAATGACAGCTTCAACAATGCATTCAATTCATTATTAGACTCAATTGGCTTTTCTCAAACTGTAAATAAACCCACTCACTGTTTTAATCACACCCTTGATCTTGTTCTGACATATGGCATCGAAACTCAACACTTAATAGTTTTTCCGCAAAACCCTCTTCTGTCTGACCATTTTCTAATAACTTTTGAATTTACATTAATGGATTATACTCTATGTGGGAAACAATTCCACTACAGGAAACAATTCCACTACAGTAGATGTTTATTTGACAATGCTGTTACCAAATCTAATTAAATAATTCCATCATTATTTACTTCAGTGCCATGTGCCAACACAATGGACAGCGGCCACCTTAACTTTACTCCCACACAAGTCAATAATCTTGTTGATAGTATTGCAGCCTCCCTGTGTAATACACTTGATACCGTTGCCCCTCTGAAAAGGAAGGCAGTGAAACAGAGGAGGCTAGCCCCATGGTACAGCTCGCACCTCCGCTCCCTAAAGCAGGAATCACAAAAACTGGAAAGGAGGTGGCGCTCCACTAAGTCAGAAGAGTTTTTCATAGCCTGGAAAGATAGTTTACTAACATACTGTATAAAAAAGCCCTTTGTAGTACCAGAACCGCATTTTATTCATCACTGATTGAGGAAAATAAGAACAACCCCAGGTTTCTTTTCAGCACTGTAGCCAGGCTGACAAAAAGCTACAGTGCTGTTGAGCTTAACATTCCCTTAGATCTCAGCAGCAATGACTTCATGAGCTTCGTTACAAATAAAATCACAACTATTAGAGAAAAATTTAGTCAGACCATTCCCACAGCTCTCATGGATGTGCCATCTACTACAATGGCTTTAGAAACAGTAAAGACCTTTAAGACCTCATTTATACTTGGGCTACTTCTCTCCCATAGATCTCTCTGAGTTTACCTCAACAATTGCTTCATCTAAACCATCAACATATCTCTTAGACTCCATCCCAACCTAGCTAATTATAGACCAATATCCAATCCCACGTTTATTTCTCAAATCCTTGAAAAATATGTCGCAAAGCAGTTTTGTGACCATTTGCACAAGAATGATTTGTTTGAAGATTTTCAGTCAGGAAAAAACTGTACTGGTGAAAGTCACCAGCGATCTCCTCCTAGTCTCAAACATGACTTGTCTCCATACTTGTCCTCTTAGATCTCACTGGTGCTTTTGACACCAGTGATCACAGCATCTTGCTGCAGAGACTTTGGAGTCATCTTTGATCAGGATATGTCCTTTAAATCACACATAAACAAAGTTATGCTGCTATAGGCCTAGACTGCTGGGGGGCCCCATGATGCTCTGAGTTCATCTCCTCCCCTCCCCTCTCCTCTATTCTCCTCTCTCTCCATGCTTCTATATGCCACCATTACACATCACTAACTTTGTGTCTCCTCTCTCCAGTAGTGTGTCATCTCTCTCTCTCTCTCCCTGTGCCTTTCTGCAGGTAGCCCTGGCTTTGGAGCTCTATGTTTCTGATGAGCAGTCACCAGCCACATCAACCTGCCCAGTGTTTGTTCGCTTGTTGTGTCTTGTTGCTTTTCTTCTCTTTTCTCTCCTCTATCCACTCACCCCAACCGGTTGAGGCAGAAGGCCGCCCACCAAGAGCCGGGATCTGTCGGAGGTTTCTTCTATTAATGAGAGTTTTTCCTCCCCACTGTTGCCAAGGGCTTGGTCAAGGGAGATTTGTTGGGTTTTCCTCTATAATAATAGTGATAATAGTAAGGTCATGACCAAAGTGTTCTGAGATTACTTTTGTTGTGATTTGGCGCTATACAAATAAAATTTGAATTTTAACTTGAATTGAATTTAGAGTCACATTTACCATACTCAAGTTGCACAGTATCATCATTGTCTTGACAACTTTAAACTGTTGACATCTTGAGATACTTGTGCCACTGCCTCTGCCTTTAAAAATTCTCCCGTTCTCCAATATTTTTTATTTCTTTTCCTTGTTTTTTATCCTTCACTTCACAATCCACTATTGTCTCCTACATCTATTTAAATCAACACAACATAAAATGTTCATACTGAATGCATACAGTATTTTTCTGGTTGTGGTCAGGTAACTCATTGTACTTGATTATAGGTAGCGAAATATCATGCTATTCTTCAAGTCAAGGTTGACTTCAAAATGAGGCAATATGATGACTTGTTCAACATTTGCCTTAAACCACCATCTTCTTCTAACTATAACCAGGTGATTTAGTATCTTAAACCAAACATGTTGCATGTAAGATGTAAAGAATGGGAAAACATTCCATTAATCTTATGTGGGAGTAAGATGATTACATCTCTTACTATACTCTTCACCATTAGTCCATCACTTTAGTCTAGACATAATTATCTATGAAATATTGGATGGACGAACATGAAATTTTCACTGCTGTGGGTATCGACCTTACATACTGTATTTGTAGCAGCAGGATAGCAGATAACACCACATACAAACAGTATAAACTTGTTTTTAATTAACTGAATCAACTGAATTACAGTTACTATTATTTCTTTGTCTTGAAGTATTGCTTTGAAGCCATTTTTCCATGGGTTTGTTGACTCTGTTGTAGTTGTGTTTTCAATGTGTGGGAAATTGTTCTATTAAAAATTCTTGACCTCTTGATCTCTGACCTGGAATTATCCACTTGTTAACAGTGATGTAACATTTCATTTTACCAGGAAAAAACCCATTATGGTTTGAAACCTCTCTTTCAATGGTGCTCTGGCCATGGCAGCAGAATGTAAAAAATAGACAATGACAAGAACATTGTACACAAAAAGCAAAGTAACAAAATAAAAACAAAGTAATTAAAATCAGACAAAAATAAAAGCTGGAACAGGCAGTAAGTACTCAAACTTAAATGCGGTTAAAAGTATCAACAGGAACAGACAGTAAAGGACAGTTCATCGATACAGTTACAATAGACTAGTGTTCTGACAATTTTATCAGAGTAGGTTAAGTTTCTTTTGCAGGCTGTTCCAGGTGGCTTGGGCAGAATATATAAAGGCCCTTTTCCCCATTTCTGTCCTGATGTTATAGACAGACAACAGATATGAATTATTAGATCTAAGGTTCTCTATGAAATATATTTACAAATGTAGGAAAGGAGTTTACCAAGTATGGCTTTGTAAATGAAATATATACCAATGTCCCATGGAAAAAGATGGCCAGCCAACTCTGGGACACAGTGGTGAGTTAGAGGTCTAACGTTTGTGACAAATCTTAGGGGACTATAATCCAGCTGCATGAGATGTGTAGTTGAAGCATTCATATATAGCAGGTCACCATAATCAAGAACTGGCAAAAAGGTAGATGCAGCCAGTCTTTTCCAATTTTGTGATGAAAAACAGGTCCTGTGTCTATAATAAAAGCCTAATTCCAACTGGAGTTGCCTCACCAGATTTTCAGTTTGATAATAAATAAATATGATATAACTTTTC